TCTTCAGTACTGTGGAGTTTGGAAGTTGAGTTCCACTGCTTGGTTCTAGCTATTGTTTGACGATTTGATGCATTCTCTTTGTTCTAGAGAAGCTGACTTCGTGGTGAAAATGCTATGGAGTGGCCCATAACGGACGTTTCCCAGATATGAAAAGCACTTGGCCGCACGTGAAACTAACTTGGAGAAAGTGAATTTTGTTCACCAAAATAGGGAACCTTTTCTGAAAACAAAATCATTTGCTGGAAGCAAATCTTACTTCTTGAAAATGTATGAAACTGCAGTTTTATGATTTTTGCTAGGTTCTTAGAAATCAGTTAATTTTGCACAACCCTAAACAGCAGTTCACAATCGGCGAAATAAAACTAGGAGAACATTCTGTTAGAGTTTTAATACTAATACCAGTTTTCGACAAGCTCTGCATGACACTATCAGCAACAGTGGTGTTCTTCATATCCTAAATGATCGGATTCGGACTGGACGCTGAGCAAAATCACTCCACAACATACATGTGCCCATGTTGTCACATACCTTGGTATTTTCGGGCTCACTCTCACTCAGCGACGCGCCCTCTGACCGGCTATCCCGTTTGTTATTATTTTCGCCCTCACTCAATGATGCGCCCTCTGTGCGTCTTTGCTGTGTTAGTATTTCTGCCCTCAACCTGAAAATAGTCATATCTCACTTTTACAATAAATAATAAAAGGAAAAAAAATATATAAATATTTTGTATAACTTTACGGTAAAGTGTTCATTTATCACATTTATCATAAACGATAAATGGAGAAAAAATATATATATAAATACTTTGTATGAACTTACAGTAAAGTATTCATTTTTTACTTTTATAATAAATGATAAATGCCGATAAATATATATTTTATTTTAATACTTATTTTCGAAAGGATAAAAAGTTTCTGAGAGTGCGTTCATAATGTAAATCGAATTAGACATATCACGGAAATACAGCAGTTTTATTCGAACCTCTCTTCTGGGGCTGTTCGAATAATATCTATCGAATTTTATACCGCAAATATAAGTATGTATATCACAGTGTTTTAAACCGACAACAACTGCTACACACTTATTCCGTTCTTATCAGTAAGCATACCATAGCATGTAAAACTGATAACAACTACGCGTGAGGGTGACAGACGAGGTTCTTTATTCCAAGCGGTGCAATAAAAGCCGTTAATCTCAATTAGCGAGATATCATCGTGCTACTCGTACAAGAATTCGTGATTCATTACATTTTTTCTAAAGTTGTGGATGTTATATGTCTGTTTCTTTCTTCACCTTCAATCAACCGAAATTCACATCACTTAATTGGATCTCCTGTACATTCTTGCTTCTAAAAAAAATATCCACTGAACGGTAGTAGAACTAGGCATATCTATTTATGCATTTTTCACGCTCTTCTCTTTCCATCTGAATCATATCGGCGCAGAAATATCGTATAATATTTTATCTTGATGCATATTTTTACTGCAGATATCAATATGAATGTGTACTCTATCCAGTCTGGAGAATAAAAGGAAGCTTACGGACACAATGGCATTTCCATCATTAAGATAATATTCCTCTTTTTTGGTGTGGCTATTTTCGGATTTTAGGACTTGGTGCTTCTTTTATATCTCACTATGCTACTGTCACTGTATGTAAGAACGACAAAAGATAGATTTATATTTCTTGTTATATTTTTGTGTCATAATTAAAAGGTATGTTTGACGCAAAGAGGAAAAAGCTCTACATTTGGTTCATACGTAGGAGATCCATGTATCCGTACAATCTACGCTTGAAAAAAATCACTTTATGATAAAAGACAGATAATGATTTTTTATACACACGTTGCAGAGGATGCAGCTGCATAATGTCATAGAGTAAGATCTGTTGCATTTGAATCTTCTGTTTAACTCTACGGGCGTCTTATTCATAAATACAGCTTTGAAAAGAATTAAATGTCAAGTTACTGAAACTTACCTTATGAGTGATAACTTTATCGATCTATTTTAATCGTTTTAAAACTTTCTTAACGTTTAATTGAAACCCAGCGCTATATATATTGGAACAGAACCTGCAGTGGGAAAAAACCCAAAGAACGGAAAAAATAAAATCTAATCTTCATTGAATCACTATTCTTAAACAGATGTCCCTAAATTCCAGCAACTAACCGATAACCTGCAAAGTAATTAACTTTCGCTCCACATTAATAAACATCCTGTACAGTGTTACTCACTCTGAAAAATAGTAGGCATGTACCAAGAGGGTGAGGGTGTCGAACGAAAAACAGACTGACTTGTATATTGACAAAACAAATCAATCTGCTGGTCTCAGCTTTTGCTTTTCACCAATCGATCTTTTGTCGAAATGAATGAAAACATAAATTGTATGCTTTGTTTCAAATGTTTACAAAAATGCAGAGTTAATTTTGCCGAAGTGTTTCGTGTGATTTATTAAAATAAAAACACTCATCAGGGCTCTGCGTACAGTTTTAAGCACGAAACATAAAAAACTAATATTGAAAAAAGAAAAATGAAAACAAGCAGATATTGCAAACGTTTACCAATGGTTTTGTTAACGTTAGTTTTAAGCGTTCTAATTGTTGAGCCATGTAAGTAATATATTCGGATGTTCTTCGACTTTGAGGTCTATTTCAATATTATCAATTGAACCGTGTTTTAATGCCAAGTCAGTTAGTAATTTCAGTAACAATGAATCAACTATTTATAGTTTTATTAGCGCTGGTTTTAAAATTTCCTAATTGTTAATCATATAAGTAATATATTTTTTCATTAGTATTGTTCCAAGTAATAGGTTTTGTTGAATAATTGTTGTATAAATTCTCATACTTATATAATACTTTCCATTAATCAGATATTGTCCCTTTGGAAATGTAAGGTTCCATATGTTCAACGGATTAAATATTTCAATTAAAGACATATGCCAATTGTAGTTACTCATTGTTAATGTTCGTTTTAAACTTTCTAGTTGTTGAACCATACATATTTGAAATGGAGTGATGTATGCTGAGTGATTTTGTACTGACATTGCACCTACGAAACCCGTTTTTAACCCTTTGGTTACGGAGTTTTTGGAAAAATAACAAAAACATTAGTTTTTTCAAAATATCCTGAAACAGATCTTTTATTATACAGAAGCATTCAAAAGCATTCTTATACCTTACTGCAGAAACAAAAACATCACAACTCAATAAGACGGAAAGTACAGGAAGAAAGTAACAGAGAGAAAATCCACTTGAATATAGGGTTGTTCGGTAATAATAATGAAAAAACGCATCTTTTTCAAAATGTGGAAAATTTTCTACTTCGTTCTTCTTTTCAACTTCTGAAAATAATTCAGCATCAAAAACTGAAGAGGGAACATAACCCAAGTGTCATATCGCTTCTAAGGCGAAACCTAGTGGACCCTAGGTAGTCGAGTACGCTGATGCCGAATATCACAATGATTTTTGCTGCCAGACCCAACGGACCCAGTTCCGTGGAAAACCAGTTTTTCAGAAACTCTAAAGGATAACCGAAACCTTTTCTTAATGAAAGACCCTTTAAGTATCTCAAGTGTAGTGTTGATTTTCAACATTTCTGCTATCTTTATGACGCCTTTTAATGATATCCGAATACTGTCGACATCTAAACGAGTTAAGGTTATATTTATTACTAGTGTATGACATATCGTTGTGATACCGTCGTCAAATAGCCGATTGTTGGTAATATCGAGATAGATCAATGTCGGATTTATCCTGAGAGCTTCCGCTATTGCCGTTGCACCTTGAGACGATATTTCGTTACGATAAATATGAAGGGATGTTATTATTTTATTTACTTTTAACATTTTAACAGTGTGCGCTTTTTTACATAATTCAAGTTAATGTTTTTTCTAATGAACTTATTTAGCCTGCTCTGCCTCTTGTGAAAAATTTTAATGAATGAAGTGAAATGGCTTGAGGGCGAATTTAGAACTTGCTTTTCACGAATCTTTGTAGTATTTTGACTTTTGTCTGTGACGTACACATAGGAGCTCTAAGTTTACAGCACATGACTTTTTGTCCTGTACTGAACTTCTGATAGGCTCGAAATGCTTTTACCAAAAACAACAAGCAGCATTTAATGTTATCGTCGCTAAACGGAATTTCATATCTAATGGAGTTGTGCTCTCTACTGGTAGTTTATAAGCTGTACAAATTAAGAATCGAGGATTTTCTGAACACACGAAAGCGGTTTTTCGGCGATTGGAAGGTCTCTAACTCAATCAAATGTCATCAATATTCAGAAAGATTTGTTTACAATACAAATTATCGAAAGCTCGACGCCGCAGCTCTGTCTATCTATTGACACGATAATATATCTCAAGGAGTTCCGAATCGTTAGAAGAAAATCTAAAACATGTCGGAGAATCCCGGGAGCTCACGAAACGAAGGGTGTCCCACATTTTTAACGTCTCTTTCCTCTGTGTAGATCTACTCCCTTTCTTCTCCCATCTCTCTGCATGGTCTCACCGTATTAAAAGTATGGATCTCGTCATTTTCTTTAAATAATTCTCTTCAGTTTCACCAAAAATTATCTTGCAAACAAGAATCTTGAGTGAATATTTTCCTAGAGTGTTCTATAGCGCGTGATTATAGTTAGAACGGAAAGGAAAAACAAACAAATCAACGTGCGTCCTTTTTGATGATATTTTTCGTTCTATCACCCAGCTGAGGAAAAAAAGAAAGTAAAAGTAGAAAATAGAAACTTTCTACTTTTACCATCTTTGCTTGACGTCTATTACAATATTTTGACTATACTAAAAGAACAGTCTAGAGGAAGAAGACTACTAAAGAACAGTCAAATGTGTTTTATTCACTTTCATAGACAGAACGAGAATTGACTGAAATGTGTGAATCAATATTCGAATACATTCCATCGCATCACTAATCATAACCAAGAAATTCAGCCTTGTGCATTAAAATTATCCTGTTATTTAGTTTAAGATAATCCACAGTTAACATGGAAATGTCACCCAAACTCTACCAATTAATGGAACAAGCAGAAGAATTAGAATTACAAATAATCAACGAATCAAGCGTTAACTTGGCAGGTATGCTTTTTCAGAGCACTTCATTTTTCATACTCAAAGTAAAATTGTTCATCTAGGCGTTGATACTTGTTTAAGTGTTGGCATGACGTTTAGGTAACTCACTCTCAACTTACACACACCCCAATGCCACGCCATGACATGTGTCAAACAGATACCCATAGATGGTCAAACATTCATCATTCATACATTCATGTTTGACATATGTCAAACCTGTTATGCCACAAGTTTGGCTGTCATGACATGTGTTTAGCACATGTCATGACAGCGCTTGACACATGTCAAACATGAATGTATGAATGCTGAATGTTTGACCATCTATGGGTATCTGTTTGACACATGTCATATGTAAAACCTCAATCTTTCGAAAATTTTTCAGTTTTTCTTTCCAGACTATACAGTCAGACGGTAAGATCTTATCAAATTCTTACAAGCTTAACTATAACAAGATACGTTTATAGAAGGTGAAACTTCGATAAAATATCGCATTGAACTTGTAATTTTTGTAAATATACTTCATTGAAGTTATAGTTTCAATAGGACATAGAAGCAGTTAGTTTCCTGTTTCTAGGAATACGGAACCGGTTATACGACCGGTTTTCTGACCTCTGTATCGTTAAATACAGCTGTAGAAGAAGCACAGACAACAGCAGCTGTTACAACAATTAAGAAGAAGTTTTCATTCAGATTGTAACAAATAAAATGTTTACTGTCTTTTTTTAAGATGACTCCTTACATATAAATACACTATTTTTGGGTGTTAGAAAATATTATTCTCAATGGATCAATTTATTTGAATTTCATGATATGTTTATTGGATCCTATATTGGCTACAGTAATGGTCAAGAACTGAAAATATTTGTTTTGGTTAATGAACTAAATCATTTAGCGAAACAGCTAAAAGAACAAATGGAAAAAGACGATGGATTATCAGTTGAATTGAAGGACGATAAGTTGTTTCCTGCTGCCACGTTGGATTATCCAACATCACCGGCCTATTCGCATGATTCATACCAATCCATTCTCGATGTTAAAAAGCGTGTGGTAAATGAACAATTTGTAGAGAAACATCCGAATATTATAGCGGTTATTATCGACTGGAAAGTGACGAGCGGTAAAATAACAAATCTCTTGGCGATTGTGTTTATTGTGCGAGGAAAAGGAATTCTACCATATGGATGTGAATTGTTACCGGTCTTTATAGAGAGTAAGTTGAACGTGCGCAAATGAATTCTTTGATATGATTAAGATTCTGTGGCCGATAATCTAGCTTTCTGTGTATGGGAGTAGTTCTCTGTGTTAGAAAAACGAAAATTTGAAATTGTCATACATTTTCTATATAACTGATTGGAGCATATACCTTTATAGAAATGTTTGATCTGCGAGTAGTAAAGAATTTGCTTTGCTAGACAGAATGGGGTTGTACAGGACATAACTGGGCCTTTTTATATCTGTATGATTCGTGATAGAGAATGAAAATAAAAGGCAAAATTCATTTAATCAGGAATCTGGTTGTAGATTCTGTTTTATTTGTCAAAAAGAACTTCAGAAGACCATGTGCTTTTAAACATTTTGTCCTAGAATTTCCAACTGATGTTTGTAATGGTGGTGTCCAATTGTGTGGTAAACCCAACGTCAAATGTGGTTCGAGTATTAACAGACTATGTGAAGATGAAAATATTGGTGGTGGAACACTTGGTTGTTTCGTTGAAAAAGAAAATGGTGATGTTTGTTTGCTTAGTAATGAACATGTTCTGGCATTTGGAAGTACAGGTAGTTTTAGCGAACAAATAATTTATCCGTCACCAGAAGATTTACACGAGTACCCCCAACCTAAATCAATTGTTATTGGAAATTATCTAGAAGGGAAACGTGATAATGTTACTGTGGGAGATTGTCAAGTTGGTATTGATGCTGCAATAGCAAAGCTTTTGCCGGATTTAATTGAACCGTCCAATGAATTAGAATTAAACTTAGATTACTGGAGAAAACGTGTGCCCCACAAATTTATTCCTTCACCGTTACCATTTTTAAAACCTATAAATTTTTATACAGATGATGATTTGACACAGTTACATAAACATGGAGATGTTATCAGGGTGTTCAAAGTTGGTAAACAATCAAATGTAACAAGTGGAAAATTGCACACAACTGGGGATATCATGTCTGGAGATGTATACCAGCATATACTTAAATATCAAAATAGATGTTATTTCGATATGCATAAAGAGGAAAACATCCAAATAGTGAATAAAAAAGAATACAAATTTGATGCCGTTTGGTTGAAAAATCAATTGCTGTAAGTTCTGACCGCACCTTTAGTTCAGAAGGAAAACTTGCTGACCTTATATTTGTACTTTCTAGTATAACTAGTCCTCAAGAAAACTCGGATCCATTTATGCTTAACGGCGATTCGGGTTGTGTGGTCTTTGATAGTTCAGGAAAACTCTTTGGTTTAGGCCATGCCAAGATCAACAGGATTGATTATGCCGTAGTTTGTCCCTTTTATGCGATAATGCAACATTTCAAAATCAAACTTCTGTAAGGAAACAAACCAAAGTGTCTTGCTGTTATGTACAACTCTTCAGTCTTAACGGTTTGTTTCGATATTTTCAGGGAAACGAACGTCCATATCAGCTAAATACCAGTCACTGTTCGAATAAAGTTGACACTAATTTTTTCAGGATTAATTTTTACATTCAATAAAAATTTCAGAAAGTAGATTTGACTTTGTAAAACATACTTTGCCATAATGCCCTCAAAAAGACCGATGGGCAAAAGTACTATATCTATTTCTATGAAATGATAGGGTACGAAACATTGAATAGGTCATAGAAACACAGAACAGCAAATTCTCTATCTATTTATGCAAAACAGTGGCGCTTTTTCGATTTTCTCCAGCAGAAACGAATAAAAAAACGAGCTTGTACTACCTCGGATGGACTTTAAAGAGCGTTTTTGACCGTGATCGCCTCTGCTCTTTATCGACATCCTAGATCTGTCACTGATGTACACAACTACACGAGAACTCTGTAAAGAATATATCCATTCTTCGCATTATTTTCTCTTTTCTTCTTTAGCGAATTCTCTCATTGTGTGCATCTATCGTTATTTCTCAGTAGTTATCTACATCTTTCCTTTGGATAGTTCATGACCTCTTATCTCACTCCAAAGATTTTCTGGTTTCCACTGAACATTTTCCTGAACTCTCTCTCTCTCTCTGAAGGCAGAACGTTCATCTCCAGGAGAATTTTACTTTTCCACGAGAATTTCAGTCATTTTCACAGAAATTTTGCTTTCTTCCACGACAAATTTACTCTACTACACGGGAACTTTAGTTATCAGAAAAGACACATTGTGCAACTCGACGAGAATCATTGCCACTGGAATTTTTCTTCCTTTGACGGAAATTCTACTCTACTAGACGAGAACATTAGTTATCAAACATGGCAGAGCGTCCATCTCCAAGAAAATTTTAGTTTTACATGACAGAAATTTACTATTCCGCGGGAATTCTAGTAATTCCTAAACGAGCTTTATTTCATTACACGAGAATTTCAGTCATTCTCACTAGAATTTCTCCTTGTTCGACAATTATAGTCAGTCCAACAGAAACTTTATAGTATTAATGGAGTTGTGCTCTCTACTGGTAGTTTATAAGCTGTACAAATTAAGAATCGAGGATTTTCTGAACACACGAAAGCGGTTTTTCGGCGATTGGAAGGTCTCTAACTCAATCAAATGTCATCAATATTCAGAAAGATTTGTTTACAATACAAATTATCGAAAGCTCGACGCCGCAGCTCTGTCTATCTATTGACACGATAATATATCTCAAGGAGTTCCGAATCGTTAGAAGAAAATCTAAAACATGTCGGAGAATCCCGGGAGCTCACAAAACGAAGAGTGTCGCACATTTTTAACGTCCTTCCTCTGTGCGGCAGTTCTCTTTACTTTTTCTTTAATTCAGCATTAGAGATCGGGCTGGAATTATGTCATGTAGATGCCGGAGACGAACGAAAGAAAAGCTGGTCCGTAAATAGTCAGAAGAACTCTATTTTCAGATTGTGATAGTATGATATGTAAACGAAAGGCAAGAGTATGGAACAATGATATTTTCCCTTACAAGAGATAAACACTATTATATAGAAAGAGTAGTTTTACACCTTTTGTTGTTTGCCTCAGAAATTGACATGACATCATCGATTGAAGAAACATGAGTCAATTGACATGACTTCAAGCGGATTGCATGGAGTTTTCCGATTTCGTCATTGTACGTGAAAGAACCCATCCTTTCTCCGAAATATTGACGATATAAGAGTATTAGTAAACGTTGAAGAATTTCATGCACAACTGACGTTTGCCAGTCTGCCATGTAAGTACAATTACTTTCGTTTTTGTACGTGCAATTGATGGGAAATAATAGTCACGTGTTCACAAGAATTCACAGGTGTTGGATTTCAAGTTTAGATCGAGTATCCTGATGAATAAATCGAGTTTTAGAGTGATTGAAATATGAAGAGCAACTTCTCCAATTTTCTTCATTCTATAGATGTGAGAGATTGTTATATGAAATTAAAATAATCAATATCTATGCCCTAGATACCTCGAGCTGTTATATTTATCGGCGAATAATCGATACTTTTGTTCGAATTGAGAGCATGAAAAAACTATGAAAGAAAAGGGACTGGAAATGGTTCACTGTGTCTCCCCCTTTTCTATTGGAAACTAAGACCTTGTGGATCAGTGTGAGAAATTTTGCCCCCTTTTTGATTCTGTGCTAACGAAGGAGCGCTTTTGAGCTGATATTTTGGCCAGAGGTAGATCTCAATGAGTCTAAAAAAACGTCAAAATATTTCGGACCTGCTGATCTTCCTTCAAGAGATATCGGATTTTTATTCTACTTTTCCTGCAGGAATGGAAATTTCGATAAAAACTTAAGATTCGTTTTTCGATTTGTAAATATGCTCAGTAGATTGCCCATGTGTCCAATAGCTTATAGAAAAATTTTCAATTGAAATTGGTTTTTCCTTTTGAAGAAATAAAATTTTCAACTTCTGCTTGGATTTAACATCTATCAACGTTTTCTGAAAAAGTTTTATTTCTTCGAAAGAAAAAATCAGTTTCAATTGAAAATTTTTCTGTAAGCTATTGGAGACACGGGCAATCTACTGAGCGTATTTACAAATCGAAAAATGACTCTCAAGTTTTTATAGAAAATTTCCGTTGCTGCAGGGAAAGTAGAATAAAAATTCGATGTCTCTTGAAGAAAGGTAGGTGGGTCCGAAATATTTTGACGTTTTTCTAGACTCATCGAGATCTACTTTTGGCCAAAATATCAGCTCAAAAGCACTCCAGCAGTTGGGGATCTTCCCTCGTAAGGCCGCAGCAACCATAAAATGTTAGATCATTAATTCTTCGGCGTTTTTCTTTCTATAAAATATATCTCCAATGAAATCAATATCTACACTTTGCTGTCCTTTAGCAAAGTGTAGATATTGTCCAATCACATTTCAATTATTTGACGATCCCCTACTAGCTGCAGATGGTCACACGTACGAACGTAAAGCAATCGTTGAATGGATAAAACTTAAAGGAGCTAGCCCTATAAATCGTGAACGCATTAAATTAAAAGATTTACGTAGTAATCTCATCGTAAAAGAGCTCGTGGACGAATATCGTAGTAGTTTACCGTATCTCTCCACAGAAGATACAAGAGATCCATCGATGATCAGTGATAGTGGCAATCATACTCTAACAACATTATCTGGTACAACGGATTCCCATCAGAGAAGCAAACCACAGCGTTTCGCATGTTGGCCTTTCCACATTGGATATTATATCGAGAAAATCACCAGCGTTTCTAACAATCGTTGTGATTTAGCGCAGCCAACTCAAAACTAAAAACTTTACAAGCAAACACAGTGTGATTACTTTCTAGATGGATTATACCGTCCAGATGACTCGAAGAGGATTAGGACATTGATAATTTCTTGTAGTTAAATTTAACTGTTCATATTTTGTACGGTTCTTGTATTATTTTTCATGCATCAAAAACACAAAATCCATTAACTAAAAGTAAAAAAACTATTGAGTTTTTACGATATTCTTCAGCAACTGAATTATCATAAAACAGAAATTCTAGGCTTTTTATCCAATCTTAGAAAAATAAATTCAATGTACTTCATTTTCTGCCTTCATTTGATCGAAGTGTGTTGTAAAGATCGCTGTTTAGCGGGTATATCGAAAATATTAAACGACTAATATTAAAAATCAATTAAATATTTTCTCATCTTATTTAAATATTTTTCTTGTGGTAAAATAGAAAAATATTCAATTATTTTAAAAGAAACAAATACTAAAGCTGTTGTTAGTCATATAGAAAAATATTAAAGTTTTTCGCGTAGGATGAAAAAATATTGAATGGTTT